AACGAGAAAAAAAAATATTATAAAATCAACCAGAATTCCTTGGTGGCAACACTTTGTGCCTCAACATTCCACAATGCTGGAACTTGTGTGGAAATATTGGGGGTTTGGGTCCTGGGCTGCCCCATGCACCCCAGAAACACACACATGTACCTATGGTTTTGGCTAGCGGGGAGGACTTGGTTGTGGTATGCCCCTATTGAAAATCTCTCCCTCCCCTTCCTCTTGTTCTCTCCCTTCCTCCCTTTATGTCCCTCAATAAATTAATACACTTTAAAAATAAAACATAGAGAAAAGATACTTATACGCACATGAAGAATTCATTGATACTGATTTATTGGTACAAGTGGTGCAAATATACCTATTATTTATATAATATTGTGTAAATAAAATACTGACAAATATTTATGATTTTCAGTTTTTGGGAATATTACATAATTTATTTATTCAATTAGGCCGAGGAACACAATATTTTTTACTTTTCCTCATGTACCATTCAGAGCGTAATTAACAGATATCCAAGGCACCCTCCTTCAGGTGATTATGTACAATGATATCCTTTTTTATTTTTACTTCGAATCAGATTGAAACTTCATCATAATGAACCAACACATTCAGATTAAAATAGTAAGACAATGAGTCTCAAGAGGGAAGTAGAAACATCTTAAATCCATTCCGTAACAACCTTTGAGAATTAAAAAAGCAGGAAGACAAAGCGGGATCTCCATTAAGGTAAACAGAAATATTGGTCTTTGAAAATTTCTAAGGCAATATAGCTTAAACAAAGTCACCAAGATCTTCAAGGACCCAATACACAGTAAAATGTCTCTTCCTTTGAAATGTACTATTCTTTTATTAGTAGCAGTGAAGTGGAGGCTTGAACTGCAATAGAGTCCCCCAAAATCTAGCTTTTTCATTAACACCATCTTAATTTTCAAAACGAGTGAATGTGTTAGTAATTTGTTTCGAAAAGGCTCTTTATCATCATTTATCAGATGTGTCTTCTGTTTTATTCTTCATTTCTTATCTCAGTAGAGTGCACTTAATGGAGAGGTGTCATGTTAGAGTGTTTATAAGAATGTATTCTGAAGGCAGAATGACTTTCAATTTTGACTTTACTAATTATATTCAAAGTAACTGTTGTTATCTCCTTGTCTTTTTTTAATTTAAATTTAAAATTTATAAAGCAAAAATTACAGAACTATTTTTTCAACAGATTTTTTTCATTCTTTTATCTGTTAAATGTTTCTTCCCTTTGCCTCTCAAACTCCTCCTCTACCAACCACTCTACCACCCACTAAATGAATATTGTATTACTTTTCCAAATTCTCCACTAAATGTTAATGAACAATTAGAACAGTCAGGTACTTTTTGTACAGAAGAGGCATGTATGATTGGGAGAGTATTATAAGTGCTGAACAAATAATTAAAAAGAACATATGTGGAAATGCCATACTATTACCTTATTGAAAAAATTCACTCTTGTATAGATCCTGTGATTCGTTAATCAAGTAACTTCCTTATCTTCAGAGTACATGTTACTGTTTCAAAAAGGCCTTATACAAATATACACAGAAACGTTAGTATTTTAGATTACATTAATGTATTTTCCTAATTAATTTAGCTAGCATAAGTTGTAAATTGCAATTATGTTGCTCATGAATATTTCTAACAAGTGTTTAATCTCTTCCCCATCATGAAAATACCACATCCATGAGATAAGGGACAAGTTTTTATCTGCAGTTGTAACATTGTCTGGTAACTACTAGAATTTCAAAAATTTTGTGGTCGTAAATTAATGAGAAAATGATTACTTTTTTAAAGATAGGAAAAGCTCTATGTTTGGTGTCAGACAAAAACTAGTATCAGAATTATAGCAATGTTAGAAATTATTTCAATTTCATTTCTCTGGTAATTATACATGAAATTTCATTCTTTTTTCCTGTTGCCAAATCATGTTTTTTAAGATTTCCTTAACAGAGTACTTTACATTATTTTTTTCTGTCATTTTTTTTTCCTCTTTGCCATTCCCACCCATTCTGCACCACCCTCTACCACTCACTCTCCTCCCTTACAGTCTCTGATATCTACATTTATCCTCTCTACTATCATATCTGCAGATTTTTCAATTACTGCCATTGAGTGCAGGCTTTAAGTACACATTGAGTGGAGATATACAGTGTATATCTTTAAAGTTTGTCTCACTCCACTGAGCATTAAGACTTCTGTTGGGTCATTGGAGAAGTCATGATTTGTCTGTATTTCTATGCAAAAATGTGTCATGATTTTTCTGACAATTCAATGTTTTTATCCACTTTGAATCAAATGATTGGTCTCATTATTTTTTTGTGGCTGAGTAATATTCCATAGTATATATGTGCCACAATTTTTCAAGCCAATCATCAGTTTTGGGACACTTAGGTGGATTCCATACCTTAGTAACTGTGAATGATGCTGCAATAAACATAGACGTGCAAATGTCTTTCCAACTGAGAGTTTTTCTTTCCTTTGGGTAATTATCAAGGAGTGGGATGATCAGGTCATATGGTAGTTCTAAATGTAGATTTTTGAGGAATATTATATTGTTGTTCACAGACATTTTACTAATTTTACATTCCCACCAACAGAGTTTGCGGGTTCCCTTTTTATCACAGGATCACTAGTACTTATCATAGTTTATTTTTGATCCTAGTCATTATAACGGAAGATAAATGATATCTCAATGTGGTTTAAATTTGCATTTCTCTTATGACAAGAGACTCTGAGCATTTTTTCATATGCCTTTTGGAGATTCATAATCTTCCTTGGAGAGTTGTCTATTCAGTTCATTTGCCTATTTTTTAATTGGTTTATTCATTTTCTATGGGTGAGCTTACAGAACTTTAAAAATATTTTTATTTAGTCCTTTTAAAAAGAGAATGTAAATAGATCAGAACTTTTAAATAATAAAATTCAGGCATTCATGAAGCTGTAGTCTTCACTACCCAGAATTACCAATAAAGTTTTAGATAAGGAACTGGGAAAGGACATTGAGTTAGTACTCACAAGTGAACTAAGAATTATGATTTGGAGGTACCTGTAATTGGCATAGTTAAAAGTAGATGATCAATCTTAAAACACAGACCAATAAACAAAAAGCTCTATGAAAAGCATTCAGCCATATAGTATGCTGATTCTTTGGCAAATACATGAAGTAAATGGCTTACTATAAAATAAGAATGTTTATCATTTTTACAATAGCATAAATGTGAAATGTGTAAAAGATAATAAAATAGAGTATCAAGAAGTAGAAGGAGACACGATCTTGGATGATGACAATATTTTGTTCCATACCAAGATGTATAGCGATGTATTTATTTTACAGTTCATTGAGTTTTACACAGATGAATTACACAAATTTCCAAATATATATTAAATGTCAATACATTATTTCACATGATGAAAAAATGTAGATATATTTCACACATTTATAAATGACTGTAATTTTTCACATAAAAACACTGTTTAATAAAATAATACATTGGGGGATGCCTGTGTCTTGGTGGTAAAAGGAGATGGATACAACGTGAGTGACTACGTGATTCATGTGGTGGCTTGAGAAACACGAAAGGTGCATGTGCATGTGTGCCCCAAAACTCAGAAAGTTTGAGCAAATGGAGGAGATGAGATTTTTACTTGGATCATACCCCAGGGGTGATACTGTTTTCCTCTTCCACTTTCTCTATAGACAGTGTGCTTGTCCTTTGGAAAATAACAATAAACAATGCAATATAATGGACTATTTCAATTTGGTAGACAAAAGAAGAAAAGAATAAGAATAACAAGTAGCATCAATAAAGCATAAGGTCAAGGAAACAAAGTAAAAAAAAATTACTTTTTTTTTTTTTCCAGAGAGGTTTTTACTATAGGGCACATGCACTCGCCAGAAAGACACAGAGAGACAGAGAGACAGAAATCACCACCACCACCACCCCTCCCCCACAGGGGGGCATGGCCACACAGCAATCCCTTCGCCATTCTCCTCTCGGGTTCTTGGGCACGCATGCACACGCAGCCAGCGTGAGTTTAAGCCACCAGGTCTAGGACTCTAATTGCAGTTAACTACATGGGAGTCCAGCGGCATAGCTATTATGCCAACTGCTGGTCCCACTAAAATTATTTAAGAGCTTAAAAAAGTGACCTGAATGATAGATCTGAAGACCTATCTCCATGTCTTTTGTTCTAGTTAACAAAATGAAAAATTAGACAAAATAAAGTTAATAAATATGAATATCAAAATATTCAGTGCAGGGGACCAGCAGGTAGCATAGTGGTTAAGGTGCTGGACACTCCCACATGGCTGACCTCGGTTCGAGTCTCGAAACTGCTGGCTTGCTTATCACTTCTCTCTGTCTCTCTCTCTCTCTCTGTGTGTGTGTATGTCTGTCAAACTAAAAATAAATGAATGAATAAATAAAATTTAATAAATAATTATTTTTTAAAATATTCAGTGTAATATCCATCTAATGAACACTGTCAACGATAAAATAAGAAGCAAGGGTAGTGCTTAGATTAATCCATAATTCAGAAAAAGTAAGAATACTAAGATTTAGAACTCTCAATGAGCCATTCGATTATTTATGAACATACATTTCCACAAGTATTTCTCAGATTCAATGCAAATGACATAAACTATAGATCATGGCAGCAAACAGGTTAAGGACACATTAAGGAATATTCATAATTTAAATTGTAAAGGAGTAAATTCTCAAAATGCTCCATAATATTGGACTATGTAATTTATCAAATTTGCCATACTGTTTCTCTATCTCCTAAATGATTGCAAAGATTAATTACTAAAGTAGGCCCTCAAATTTAGTAATTGATTTAGTTAATATTCATTAAAGTGAATATCACCCAGAAGATTCCCTTTGCCATTTTATGGGTGTCTTAAAATGATTTCTTAAAAAATTTTAAGTACTTCTTCTTTTCTTCCCCTAACAGATGAATTTTCAAATTTCTACATGGCTCCTAGAAATTTCACCCAGGTCACTGAGTTTATTCTCACTGGCATCTCAACCACTCCACAGTTGCAAGTTCCCCTCTTCTTGGTCTTCTTCATGATCTATGGGCTGGCCGTGACAGGAAACCTGGGCATTATCACCCTCACCAGTGTTGACTCTCGACTTCAAACCCCCATGTACTTTTTCCTGCGACATTTGGCTATCATCAATCTTGGAAACTCTACTGTCATTGCCCCTAAAATGCTGACTGCTTTCGTTGTAAATAAGAATATCACTTCATACTATGAATGTGCTGCCCAAATGGGAGGGTTCGTGTTTTTCATTGTGTCTGAGGTCATCCTGCTCTCTGTGATGGCCTACGATCGTTATGTGGCCATTTGTAACCCCCTGATGTATATGGTGGTGGTATCTCCACGGTTGTGCCATCTGCTGGTAGCCCTCACATACCTCTATGGCTTTTCAACAGCTGTGGTGGTTTCCCCTTGTGTGTTCTCCATGTCTTATTGCTCTTCCAATGTAATCAATGACTTTTATTGTGATATTGCCCCCGTGTTAGCATTGTCCTGCTCTGATATTTACATGCCAGAAACTGTGGTTTTTATATCGGCAACAACCAATTTGTTATTTTCTTTAATCATAGTTGTGGTATCTTATTTTAACATTGTTTTGTCCATTCTAAGAATACGTTCATCTGAAGGAAGGAAAAAAGCCTTTTTCACTTGTGCTTCCCATATGATGGCTGTCACAGTTTTCTATGGGACACTGCTATTTATCAATTTGAAACCTCGAAGAAAACACTCATTCGATTCTGATAACATCACTTCTGTGTTTTACACAATGGTGATCCCGATGCTGAATCCCATGATCTACAGCCTGAGGAATAAGGATGTGAAGGCCGCCTTAAAGAGATGCATGACAAACCCATGCTATTCGTTTAAGCCAATGTAATTTAGAACAGCTTCTGTAAATGAAGAGATGGTTAAGTTAGGCTGCTTTTATATCAGAGAAATCGAAGTTGGTGTGGCTGACTTGTAGGTTTACAGTAATCCTGGGAATTGAAGTAGTTCAAGGGGACAGCAGATGGCATGGTTCTTAAAATGCTGGACTTCCTCATGCCCTACTGGAGTTCAAGTCCCATGGTGGCTTGAAAGTCATACCAAACACATGTGGGTGTATACTGAACATCCCCAAAGGAGAATGGAGAAGAAGGGATTGTGGTGGGTCTATCACCTGAGGGAAGGGAGGAGTGATTTCTCACTTTCCCTTCCTTAGTCTCTGGGTGTCTCCTTCTTGAAAGTACACATGCCCTATGAAACAAAATAAGTAATAAATAAATCTTTATAAAACAAAAAAGCAGGTAGAATTTGTGTAGCCTTAAATTTAAATTAAATAAGTAAACTGAATTTTTTACATTTTGATGGTAATGAAAAAGATGTCATTCACCAACTTTTACCAGGAAGAAGGAAATAGGCAGTTCACAGAAAATATATCTAGAAGTCAGGGAGGTATAATAAATAATGCATATAAAATTGAATAGGACCAAATTTAATCTAATGTCCTTCTTGGGTTTTGTATTATTTCTTCTTGGATATGATTGGGTATGGTGCTTTGCTGTATGTTGGAAACTATAATTAAGATGACTTGTGTCTTTTTTAAAGGGGGTTCAAAATTTGGCTCCAGTGGCTTAAAAAACTGGTTGCTTGTGTGTGTACAAAATACTAACAAGGTACAGAAACGGAGAAGGGATATTGCTTATCGGCACTCCATGGAGATTGCTTACACTATCTTAGTCTCTGTGTGTTACACGTGCCTCTCTGGATCAGAATGTGCCCTTTGGGAATAAACATTTAAAAAAAAAAAGATAATAAAATTAAACCCCTTAATATTTAAATGACAATTGCATGCAATTGATGAATTTATATTATGAGGCTGACCAGAATATGATTCAAAATATTTTATTTTAAATAACACTAGTCATACATATTAAATAAAAGATCCAGAAGACTGTTACTGAATCCTGCTTCAAAAAAAAATATTTACTTACTTTTATTTATTTTTATTAGTTTTTTAAAATTTGCTAGAGAGAGTAAGTGAGGTAACAAGCTGCCAGGTCCAGGATGCCCACTGTGGTGAGTCATGTGGAAGTCCAGTGCCTTAAATACCACATCACCTGCTGGCCCCTGATTCCTGTTTCTGACTGGATTTTATTTATAAATTTAGTAAGCTCTGTTAAAGTTTACTTTTCTCATTTCCTAAATTTCATTCTATTTGTATGTGAAAAGTTTCATTCTATTTGTGTGTGTACTAAAAATAGTTTTTAAACAGTCTTTGACTGTTAATGCTCTGTGAATGACAGGGGATACTTCTCAATAAAACTCACGGAGCCGTCACTGCTTCCACTCTCTGCTGTCTGCCTGTGACTAGTTTGGGGACACACTCAACAATGTACTAGTGTTCAAACATGTCCCAGCCTGTGCTATCTGCTGCTCCCAGTCAGATCTGCGAAGTGTATATATAGATAGAAAGCTAGCAATGTGTGGGATACTCAGGTGTACATCCAATCCCTTGATGACATTTCTTTTCCAGAATCCATCCATTAAATTCATGGGCAGTCGTTCAATCTGCCACTGCTCAGTCATGACCATGAGAACTGTATTCATCACTGAGCATGTACTGTATATATTTTACTTTAAATCTGATACATCTCAATTTCTACCTTATCATTGACATTGCTAATTTCTTGTCAGGTATCCTCTCACCAAAAAATATGCTAAAGAAATTATGTGTATGTATGTGTATATGTATATATATATATATATGTGTATGTGTGTGTGTGTGTATATATATATATATATATTCTGGGTTATTACTCAGAAAAAAAACATAGATAGCACATAGATAAGTCTCTAATAATTAAAGTGACATACAATATAGCAATAAGATTATATCTTAATAACATGCTAAATACATATTTACATGCACACAAACATACACATATTTCTTACATGTTCACAAGGATACATTGATTATCTAGGACATATATCAAGTACAGTTGAATATGTGTCAAGAAATTGAAGAAAAATTGGAATGGAGTTAAATAGAGGAAAAATTAAATGTTGTGATATGCAGTTAAGAAGAAAAACAAATCCTAAGACATATTTGTCAATAAGAAAATGATGGTACTTGATAATTCAATGAGAATTAAAAGTAATATTATCCCTTATTTTAAAAATCTGCAGTGGTCCAGGCCCTTTCTCTATTATCCCTGATGGGCTGTAGAGAAGGGAAATTTTCAGGACACAACTCTGGGCAGTCCATCTAGTTGTATGTTTTTCCAGAAAGGAAAACTGTCTAGAGTCCACATTAAAACATGGCTGTCAGGAGGACCAGATCACACATGGCTAACTGTGGTTTGATTCCCCAGTTTGGTGACTTGAAAAACACACACTGGAAGTGTGTGCAAGTATGTCCATAGTCCTAAAAGGATAGATGAACTGAAAAAGGATTACTGCACAACTACTCCCTATTGAGGGGCGCTTCCTTCCTCTCCCATTCTTTATCTCTTTGTCTTTTTGTTGAGCACATGTGCCCATTGACAAAAAATAAAAAGAAAGAAAAGAGGAAAGAGGAAGGAGTGAAGGAAGGAAGGCAGGAAGAAGTACAAACTTTGTACAGTTGTTTCTTCATATCAATGGATTCTGTAACCACGTATTCAATCAACCATCGTTCAAAATATGTGAAAAAATGTTCATAGAAAATAACATAAACAATAAAAGTTAGAAATAAGTAAACAGTGTACAAACTCTTACATAGCATGTGATACAATATTGTATTAGGTACTGCAGGTAATCTGGATCTGGCTTTATGCATACAGGAGAATACACCTAGGTTATATGAAAATGCTGTGCTATTTTATATAAGGACTTGAGCAATCAGAAATATTGTTATGCACAGAGTTGGAGAATTCTAGTGGAATCTATTATGATACCCAAGGCTGACTACATTTAATATTAAATACAGTAAGTTATGATAAGCACTAATGTCACTTATGAATATTTCTAATACACATCAATAAATAGTTTTGGCATCAACTATGGTTTGAAATATTTGAAAAAATGTTCACATAAAGTAATATAAACAATAAAAGTGAGAAATAAGTAAACAGTTTACAAACTCGTACATATAGCACGTGATACAATATGGTCTCAGGTATTGTAGGAAATCTGGATCTGACTTTACGTACACAGGAGGATACACCCAGGTTCTATGAATTATAGTATGTAAAACAATAGCTTTTTTTTTTTTACTTATATTCATGAATTAAACATTGTATTTTATATCTTAGTTACATGTTACTTTCATACTATTCCTTGCATGTGATCAATTGCATCCTTTACTGATTACATAGAAGCTCACATGTCACCCCAGGGGAACACTTATTCAAGTATACATCACTTATCTACATATTTGTTTTAGGAAAAACTACCTTCTCATTTTGTTTTCATTGTATTTCCAAATCTAAAAGAACAGTGTAAACAAAGAGAATACTCTGTAGACAATATGTATATGGATCACTTTTATAAATTCATTTAGGTAGTTTATGTCATTTGGGGAATTTAATTCATTTCCATCCAAAGTCATTACTTATAAAGAAGGACATGCATCTGACACACTGCTATTTGTTTCTTATATGTTCCTCTTACTATTTTTGGCGCTTATCCTTTCCGATGTTACAAGTTGTTGTTAATTTACGGCTAAACCCTTAACTGTGCCTATCTAACTAAATGTCCACAAATCTCTTGAGAGAACTACTCAGGTATTGTGTGGTGAACAATTTTCACAGAGCACACTCGTTGGGGAGACATTTAAGTTACTAAAATTCAAAGCAGAGAATCCTTGTTCAACATCTGGACATATGGTAAATATCTCTAAGGTAATTGCTACTTAAAATCCCTCTGGGAGTTTGAAAAAAAGCTTCAAATAGAGTCAAATTTTTCTTCTTCAAAACATTTAATGTATTGTAAGAAAACAAATCAAAACGACATAAAGTACTCATTAACATAAAATTCACAATATCCTTGTATAATCACAAGTACTAGACGTATGATAAGTCAAGAATATGTGACCCTGTCAAGGAGATAGTTAAAACAGATGCTTAAATGACAGAGTGGAATCAGCAGGCACCAACTTTACAGTAACAATTATAAAATGAGTCACCAGACATTGCTTAATTGGATATGTATGTGTGAAAAAGAGACTACTCCAGACAGAGCAAATATGAAATGTAATATTGGCCAAAGTTTTTTTCAATTTTTTAAAAGCATAATTTTACAGATATAAAAGGCTAAAGTAACTCCATGTAGGGTAAACAGAAAAGAAATAATATCAAAGTGCATCAAATAAAATATTTGAAAACCAATGATAAAGGTAATTCTTAAAAAAAAAAACAAAAGTACTTGGCAGCAAATGGGTGGCTCGATACTCTACAATGCTGGAAAATTGAAAGATTGGGGTTTGGTTCTTGGCTGCTCTGTGCATACCAGGAGTGCATACATGTCCATGTGGTTCTGGTTAACTAGAAGGACTGAGGGGGAATTGTGGTTTGAGACTCTACTAAGAGAATATATCTCTGTCTCACTTACTCTCTCTTCCGTTATGTCTTTATCTCACCTTTATTCCCTTTTATATTTCTCTTAATAGGTTAAAAAATCTTAAAAAAAAAAAAAGCCAAGGAACAACATATATTGCAAAAGCATGGGGAAATAATTTTATTTTGATTTATAAGAAAGAGCTATACAAGTCAAAAGACAGCGTTCTATGTCAACTTAAATTATCTATCCAATAAAAATATCCACAGTAAGAGAAAATATTTAAAAATAAGTATTTTTTCTATGAAGATATTCCTCTGTTTCCTCATAAACTGTGTCTATGAGTGGGAGTATATATCT